CCGCCCCAAGGCGAGCCGCATTCCTGGCCGCGGCGGCAGGGCCGGGCAGAGACCCGCTGCGGGGCAATAGGCGTGAGGACACCGACAGCCGTGCCAGGATGGCGAGGGCAGCAGCGAGTTTCAGTCGGGGCCAGAAGCAGATACAGGATCTGCCCTGTCCCTGCCTGGGGAAGGGTGAGGCCACGGGTTTGTGGGAAAATGTTGTTTTTCCCTCCCTTGGACTGCCCCTAGCAGTCGGCTCTGAATCGCGGGGGCCGGGGAAGTGGGGGGGAGAGTTAACAATTGTAGTGCCTCTGGCTTGGAGCGGAGCCACGGCAAACAATCCTCTCCTGGCCGCGCTCCAGATCTGACAAAACACGGAGGTGATAGCGTACTCGTACCTCCACGCTTTCATCCCAGATCACCTCCCGAAAGCCCTGCGTGGTTCTCGCGTCTGTGATGAATCTCTCTGCTTAGCCGCGGAACAAGACAGCCCGTCCGCAGCGCTGCAGCCAGGAATCCCGTCCAGCATCCCTGCGAGGCCTCTGCTTTTGAAATTACAGCTGTGGGTCTGGCAGCCAGTGGTGGGACCTGAGGTTAGGAGGTGATGTTGACTGAAGACGTGTGGACAGGGCATTCCAGGCATGCACGGGGTTAAATCAGAGGTGTCAGTTCACGGGGAGGTAACAGATAATGTCCTGCTCTTTGCTGCCTCTGGCTTTCCAAAAGCGTTGCCCTCCCTCCCACATTCCAGCTGCTGCAGCTTTTCACAGCTGGCCGCTCCCCAGGGACATTTCCCAGAGCTGAGCAGGAGGAAGAGGAGGGAACGGCCATGGTCCCAGCAAGGGAGGGGGGGTCGGTGGCTGGGCTGACCGTCAGCCCCCCCAGGGAACCTTGGGCTGGAGCCCTTTGCCCCCAGGAGTGGGCTGGCGAAGGCAGATCCGGGAAATCCCAGGTCCCTGGCAGGGATCCACCCTCAGCCCTGGCCTGGAGAGTTTTTCCTGCTGCAGGGAAGGGACATCAATCTTCGCAGCTCACTTATTCCTTGGCCTCCAAAGCAGGGTAGCCAATTAACGCTGGGTGTGATGGATGGCTTAGCCCCGTCATCGTGACACCCATCCTCTGGAAGCAGCTCCCACCGCATTAGAGGCACTGCCAGCCGTAGCGGGGGAAGGAACCCCCATCCTCCAGAGTCCCAGGGGGTCGCACGAGGGTCCCAGGGGTGGGGACGGGCACAGCAGCGGTGCTTGCTGAGCCCCCAGAGACCATGCAGGAGGGGAAACAGGCCTGAACGCTGGGCTGGGGTTCCTAATTCAGGGCTTGGGGAGACATTTCCTCCAATAATTCCCAGTCTTGGCTGCGGCAAAGCCCGTAGCTCTCTGGGGAGGAGCAGCTTGGCCCTGGTCACCCACCATTTGTGGCTCCGCGCTCGGGGCCAGGCTCTGCCGCTGCAGGAAGCTGTACCATGGGAACAGCCTGGGAGGCAAGCAGGCGGCAGAAGCCCCATTTCTGCACTTAGACCCCATCTCCCCTCGCCCGGCGCCACCCCTTGTCCGCAGCGGGGTCGGTCTCTCCCGCGAGACGTGGGTGATGCTTACCGAAGCCTGGCTTCCCTCGCACGCAGCTAAGCCCGTTTAATCCTCGCCCGTCGTCCCCACTGAAGCGACCTGCGAGGGGTCTCGGCACCGTGTCCGCTGCGGCTGCTCTGCGGGGCAGCTGATCCTGGGCCGGTTCGGACGCCCCTCGCAGCCCCCCAGGCCTCGCTGGGGGCGATTATCAACGGCTCTCCGGGCGCAGGGGATAAAAGAGGCTGGAGAACGGATCCGATTACAGGAGAAGTGGGTTTCGGGGCCCCTGCTCTCTTCCATAATGAAGTGTAATCCTAGCAAAACATGTTGCCAATTACACTTCAATTGAACCCAGATAATGATGCTTAGACAAGGCCCAGAAAAGACGGAGTCTGGACAGTGAATTCCTTTCTAATGGAGAGGAAAAATTTTCCTCTGTGGCAGGTCTGGGCTCGGCTTGGTTCAGGCTCCCTGTGATACGAGCAAGAGCCTGGAACAACCGATCTCTGGATCCCATTTAAGTGGTTTTATCAGTGGAAAGAGTATTAATCTCTCAAAAACACATGTTTATGGGAAGTTTAGTTTGGAGATGTATGCGTTTTTAACTGCAATCAGTTTGGAAAGGGAGGAGGAGTGGGTCTCAAAATTGCTAAAATAACACTTTTCTAATTCTCCTGTTTCAAAGTAACTTTTCGTTTTGAAATGTAAGCTAATAACAGCTCGGTTTCTTGACCAGCTTTTATAGTGAAAACTGAAACAAAACATCGAAATTATAGAAACAAAGTGCTATAACCTAAAGCAAATGTTTTATTCTCTTTTTATTTTTTTGGTTTACAAACACTGCTGAGGCGCCGGTTTTCCGCTCCAGCGCAGGATGGCTGGTTCAGGTCTCCGCCGTTTCAGTTTGGGAGAGAAGACGGCGTGGTTCACCCTCAAAAAATGGTCCCGGGGGCCCGTGCCTTGCTCAGCCCCGGTGCGCCGGGCTGGGGCAGGCGTGGGTGAAGGGCAGGCGGTAGCTGGCACTGGGCTGTTACAGGAGCTGCTGGCAAGGTGCGGGGGGATTGCCGGTGTCTCGGGGTCGGCGGGTGCAGCGTGGCTGAGCTGGCAGCGATGGCTGAGGCAGATAGGGAGCACCCGACCACGCGGCTGGGCTGGCCCGAGCGGCGACGGGCGGTTATCGC